CCCMWKGCGTAATGTCAAACTTCTGTTTTCAATGCAGTGAATTTCCTAAATTTGAATTACTACGCACACCTACAGCTGCAGCCATGAGGCTATAATTATATTTTTGTACAGTCTGAATATGCGCATTGTTTGCGATATTCGCGCCAGCCTGACCGATCGATATAAATCGTTGATCGAGCATCACTCGTGAAATCGATATGAATTGATGGACGATAGTTTATATAAGTGTAAGGGCCAGTCGACTGACAGGCGGAGGTTCAATTTCCTCGATCAGGTCGATCGCCATCGTTTTCCTTCGGTTGTCTTCGGCTACTACCGAGTCCCACCGGTTATCTTTGATCGTTGTCAGACATCATCGATTGTCTTCTGTTCTCTTTGGATTGTCTAGGGCTATCTTTGATCGCCATCGTTTGTCTTCGGTTGCCATCAAATGCCACCGATTGCCATAGGTTATCTTCGATTGCAATCGTTTCCCGTCGGCAATCGTCTACTGCGAGGATCGTGCATCATACGAATCGTCTACCTTCGATTGATATCCTCGGGCCCCTCACCCGTTATCAATACTCAAAGATAAAGTTCGTATCCAAGCGCTGCAATCTAATGTCGTTTTTAAATTCGAAGTAAAATCTGGAAATGTTCTATCATCGATTTCGACGATAAATTCTTTCATTGGCCTCGACCAAAAGCGATTTTGATCGATTACGGTTTTGATCGATTATGGTTTTAATCGGCCGGTCAGGCCCGGTTACTTCGGTGGTTAGTGGTGTCCTTCGTGAAGTTTTCTCACAGTTCATTTTAGGCAAGCTGATATCCCATGTAGCTAAGAACAAGTTGAATATTTTTATTTAAATGGTTTTAACCATAAAACTGCCTTAGATTGGAAATTTTAAGCTTGACAAGAGAGAATTTTGACGATGTTCGGCAACAATAAAAGATGATACACATTGGAAAACAGTGGTCATGAAGTGGTGTCCTGCCTATAGTTATTGACAAGGGCATACTCGCGAAAGGACCATTTTTTTAACTAACTGGTATGCTCCATTATTAAGCAGTACATGGTAGCTGGGCTACTATTCAAATACCACTCGTTTTCCCGCCCTTTTGTGGTATTGCCGCTGAGGACCGCAGGTTTTGGTACTCTTTTTTTCCTGTAGCGGCCATCTTGGTTTTGTCATGTTTTGAGCCCGAAATGAGTTATTTTATTTAAAAATTTTTTCGTGCACATTCAACTGTTCTGGTATCGAGAACACCCTTACAAAAATCAAAAATGGCTGATCGTCAAACTTACAACTTGCGACGCGTTGACGCATTTTCCTTGAACATCATTTCCGCGCTTTTGCATTTCCACCGTTCCGACTCCCGAGTTTTGCTACTGAGGATTCCCTTGTGGGGGCATGTGTCCAAATGTTTTGCTACTGAGGATTCCCTTGTGGGGGCATGTGTCCAAATGTTTAGGGCGTTGGACTTGTGGTCATGGGCTCAAGTTCTCCATCCTGCTACTCACTTGATTTAACTCCTCTCTTGACTCATTTACTTGAAAGAATGATTGGGATTATTAGACTGTTTATTTACAATGTTCCAGGGCAGTTATGTAAACTACAGAGTAATCCGTAATTAATGTTACCCTGGATTTGTTCTCGGTTGCCCCGAGTTCAACTCCTTAACTGAACTTTATACAGAGCCAACTGGTTTACCTCCGTTCAGTTGGGATGAACAAACTCTATGTTTATTAGCTATGTCTGAGGGCTATTATGCAAACTACAGAGTTATCAGTAATTAGTTATTTTCATTATTTATTTAATTATGCTGTTCCATACATATTCGTGAATACACACAGGTTTGGATTCATTTGTCGTTTAAACGAGGTGCATTAAAGAAGAGTACTAAGAGATTGAATCGGCATGCGACCCATCCGCAGCTTTCACTAAGGACACAGGGATTGAACTAACAAAACGCGGGATTGAACTAACAAAACGCGGGTCTGCAGTGCGGGACCACACAATGTGGAGATCTCTGGTGCGACACAACCCCGTCAAGAACGATGAATACGAGAAGATTTGAGACACATGTATAATGTAAACCATGAACTGTTATCTTATCGTTTGTGTCACCATGAACTGTTATCTTATCGTTTGTGTCACCATGAACTGTTATCTTATCGTTTGTGGTCAACTCCGACATGGATCGCGACAGTCCTTGGTCTTCTTTAGGCGATGACGTCAACCTTGCACGCGTCAACTTTTGGAGAATGGCGCTCAGTTATGATTGGTTGATTTTCATCAGCTGTTATTGACGCAATTTGGTGATATGTTCCCTCGGCGGTCAGCTATCACTCGGTTATTTTACATCGTGGGCGTCGCTTTTTCTTCACGGAGTGTGTAACAACGTGGATCACGGGTAATTTAGGGTTACTATTTCTACATACGTGACTCATGGTAAAGCTGCTTTTTGAAACTTTACGGTGTGGTACCAATCATTGCGAAAAAGACTCATATGAGTGTCACAAAATAGGCAACAGAAAGGAAAAGCAGCCCCTTATAATCGAGATGCAAAGAGGCACGTTTCACGCGCTGCACGGAAATCCATGTTGATTCATGTTGGATTCGAAATCTCGCCTTATCTGTACCGTTCTCGCTAACATGACTAGACTAGACATGGATTTTTGTAAAAATGTGATCTTTTGCCAACATTAATGGAACCTATTTACCATTAACATCCGTGTTAGAAATGTGTGCCAAAACCCTTATCATGGGATAACAGCCAGTTAACGCCTTCGCCGCCTACACAAATCCCTCATTTAAAGATTACAGGGCTAACACTTTATGATCCAAGCAGTGGGTGGTTTATATTAAGCAGAGGTGCTTCAGCGAACGTCACAAATTTTCTAGTCTTCCTTTCTTTCTTTTCTGATCGTTGAAAGCTGTTAGTAACAGTATAGACTCCAGAATAAAAGAAATAAACCTAACTGGAAGATGCATGTGACTTTCGATGGCCTTAGGTTCGATTCTATATGAGGACGAAGAATGTTTCTTTTTCTCATGCACGTGAAAAGACGAAGAAGCATCTTCTGACCTCAAAATCACTTCCACGACGCTTTCGACATCGCTGATCGTTGCAGTATGCACGCGTGTGTCACATGTGAACCTTCTAGCAAGAAGTCTAGCTTACCATAGATCAGTGAAGGCGTGGTTATTGACCAACTACGATGCTTTGTCAACTGAGGTGGAACTGTAAATTGACCCTGACCGTAATGAATTTCTAAAGCAGTCGTTTGAGCGAATGACGAAGGGCTAAAGCTCGAAAAAGAGCTTAATAAACTTTCTACGGTGGCCAAGTTACATTATCAACTCATTTGTTAAAACCAAATTATTTTAAATTGACACTGAACTCAAAGAGCGAAATACTAAGGGTTGATGCTTGAAAAGTAGCTTAAGGAATCTCTACGGTGGCCGATTACATTATCAACTCAGTTGTTAAAACCAAGTTGCCTTCTAACAAAGCCCAGCCCACCATATAAGTTTCTTTAGTTTAGTGGTACAGCATTGGAGCGCGGGGTTCAATAATTCCTCATGAGGATGCAGAAGTTTTCTCTTTATCACGCTCGTGACGAGACGAAAAGAAAAAACCTCTTTATCAGGGCGATAAAAGACGTGGGAGATTATAGCGGATTGTAAATGATAAGCTGGAATGTTTTCCAGGATGTACTTCAAATTCCAAATTTGTGTCAACAACTAATTTTCCGTGTGATTTTTCACTAGAAATACTCCTCTTCGTCCCTGTTTGAGAGTGTGACTGACCCAAAGAGTTGGACAGATTTAGGACTAATTTTAGCCGAGCGGAAGCGATTCTAGTCGAATGTGTATGTGTATGTGAACTTGTTTGGTCACCATGATTGGATTGGACTGGACTAGACTTGTCTGAACTACTACTTTAAGGAGGACTGGACTCCAAAACAAGGGAAAATGGATTTTACCAGACTGGGCACAATTCCCATTGCTCTGAACTGGGTAGCTAAATATCACGACGAAAAAGAAAAGGTCTCTTTAAAAAATCCTAATGACGATATGCGAATGGAATGGGTTAAATAATTTTACAAGGACTGCAGCACTCTAGACAAAAAAAGGCCAGTCCACCAGTTCATAAGATGTGGTCTTGTTGAAGTTTATTACTTTTTTCTTTGCTTGTTTGTCTGCCTTTTTTTGTTGTTGTTGTTGTTGTTTTCTGATCCAATAGGACATCCATTAGCTTAGGGTATGAAAATATTTGTTTCACAACTCCACCTTGTGTTTATGAATTTCAAATAGCCCTCTTATACAAATCCAAGTTTTGCTCATTCGTTATTCGAATCGTGTTATCTAAATATTGTCCATATTTCGTAAAATTAGTTTGATTCCTCTTACATTCCAGAACAATGAAGGAAATTAAACGTGACCCTTACTCCGTGACGTTTACGTTGTCACGTCATCCTTATCTCAACTTACCCAGCTGCCTTGCCGAGGTGAACCAATCCCTTTGATGTAATCATCCACAAGAATTCAACTGACGTGGGTTATACAAGGAAAACGTTTTTTTTAAAAAAACTTGCCAAGACATGCATGGAAACAGCTGCAATGACAGAGAAATGAACTCATTCCTTCTTCTAGTCTAAAATTTCATCGAAATAATCTCTTAAATGGTTTATCTGTTATCAATGTCAAGCAATTGTGTGCTGATGTGAAGTCGCTAAATGTTACATACTCACCATACTTGGCTAACAAGGGGTCAACGTGAATTTTTCGAGGCCATCTAAGACTTTGAAACCTCGTCATTTTAAAAGAGATCAATTCAGAGACGAATTTCAAAGAATATAGCCGGGGCTGCGTTATCTCAAAAATGATCTCTTTAAAAACCCCACGAGACGTCTATCACTCGGCACTCTTTAAAATCCTCTTAACGGTTTCATCAACCGATGGCAAATTATTCGCGCGAATGTATACATACCTCGTTGTCTTTTTGGCAGCGTGACCTTCTTTTTTCTTATTCCTTTCTCTAAGGTAAACTTTCGATATTTTAATCGCTGTCTATAGTTTATTTAATCATGTTTACTTTGTTGATTAGAATGTAAAAAATTTTTTCTTGCCGGGTGAGTGGTCGCAACGAGATTGCTATCAGTGCGCCAGAGCGGATCCACCACCAGAGCATCTATCAAATGTTTCCTGTGTGGTTTAAGGGGGTCCTACTCACTGTGCGTCCTATTTTAACGTTTGATCGACACGGTGAACCGCGAAAAGGCAGTTTATTTAGGCAAGGCTCTTTCCCTGCCACCTTTCTGCCGGACACGCAGCTGTAATTTAGTCCCGATGACAATTGATGTCACGCCTTTTAAACGGGGCTGTTACGTCTAAGATAAACAGAAACACAGCCCTGGTGTTGCGTTGTGCTTGATTGCGGATCTGTAACACTGTGGTCGTTTCTGTCCTGGCAAGATGCTGTACTCGACCGTAACTGCCAACGGGTCTTGGACGCGCGCTGAATATTTGCTTAACACGACCCCGCAAACACCCGCCGCTATGGATCTCCGCATCGCAAGGTACGCGGTGTTCTGTCCCATCTTTCTCTTTAGCGTAACTGGCAACACGCTGGTAATATTAACCGTTGTTTTGCTTCGGAAAATGAAAACAGTCCCGATGATGTTCATAGCGAACTTAGCGGCCTGCGACCTGATCACTACTATTTCAAGTATAGCATTTGACTTGCCGGAGCTGGAACTTGGCTACTGGCCGTACGGAGCAGTTCCATGCAGGATTATTTATCCATTGGCAACATTTTCAACCAACGCAGCTGCGTTAACTCTAGTAGCAATATCAATCGACCGCTACATTTCGATAATCTGCCCGCTTAACCTACGTTACCGCATAACGAAGGGTAAATGCTTTAAGATTATCGCAGCGATACATTTTGCCTCTGTGGTCGCTGTTGTACCTTACGTACTCCTTTTGAAATACACAGCTGGCTTGGGATCCTCAACATGTGGTGAAGATTGGCCCGATGGTTATTCGCTGGATAAAGCGTACACAGTACTGCTGTTTGCGCTCCAATATGGTCTGCCATTGGTTATTATGTCGGTCGTTTACACGCGAATCGGCCTCAAACTTTGCAAAAACACTGGAAAAGCTGCAGAGCTTAGTTCTGGGAAAACAAACAGATCGCGTAGCTCGACAACTAGCTCTGGACAGACTCTTCTCCATGGCGCGCTGGACAAGGCGACGTACACTCTTCAGCGGAGAAAACGACAGAACGAGAAAGCAGCAAAAATGTTCCTCTTTGTTGTTCTTATCTTCTTGATTTTCATGATGCCGCATCAATTGCTCTGGCTAAGTCTTCAATATGCAAGCAACGCCTCTGGCTTCCAGCAGTATGAAGACCTCATAGTCTTCGTATGTGGCGCTTTTACATACGCGAACTCTGTGTTGAACCCTGTCGTCTATGGAGTGTGTAACGGTAATTTTCGCCGTGGCGTTTTGTCAGTGTTAAAGTGTCAATGCAGCAAGGCGAGTCAGAGAAGACAGGTTAGGGAAGCAGAAATTAGAAGGACCGAGACAATGCTGTCTACAAAGTTAGCGCCTGTGTATTCAACAGGTGGTTCTTCGGGCTTCAAAGAGAAAATCACTCACTCAAATGCAGTGCATGTCTCTCTGCAGAGGGAAGCTTTAATTCGTAACGGAAATTGTGTGGCAAATCAAGGAGCCTTGAAGACAAACCAAGGTCAACGGTCTGTCTCTAAAATACCAACAAAGAAATTCATGACGGAAAGTGAAACTGAAGAGAACAATAATTCGCACAAGACGAAACCGAGAGGTGATAAAATTCCCAATGGAAGCGTCGCTGCTAAGGCGGAAATCCGTAACTCGCTGTATGATAACTCATTAAACGGCCATCTTTCACAACAAAACTCAGAAAATGATACCATGAAATGGCTAAGAGAAACGGAAGCTCTTTTGAAAAAACTTTGCCAAGAATTTGAAGTCTCGAGAGGAGACAAAAACACTCGTTACGGGGCGCAACGGGAGATTCCATTCCCTACGAAGGAGAAGAACATTTTAGGCGCCCAGTTGTGCGCGGAAAAAGAGACTATTCTTTAGAGAAACCAAGAGCATTGCGGGAGATGTTAAGATCTTTTAAAAGCCATTTACAAGACAACGTCTCCGCAGCGTAGAGAGCATTACGAAGGGAATTTTTATTAAGAGGATAAATTATCGAACAAATTCGGTTGAGTGACAAGAGCCGGCCCAAAATGTGTTTGGTACATTTCCTGTTCAAAACGATTTACAAATGATTTCAAAATGATTCAATGTTGAAATGAAATGTTTTTGGTCGATATTTATCGTTCCAGACATTTGTCCGTTTGACAAAACATCATAAAACTCAGCTTAAAGTGCTAATTCTCGACACAATTTCAAGAATGGAATGTTTTATTTGGGTTTGCTTCTTTCAAATCATATATCATTAGCAGAAAAGTCGCCGCTTTTGAATAGCTGGCGACAAGTTCTTTGTAAATCTTTTTAAATTGCGTCATTCATTCGGTTGATTTGGGCCTGGTATTTTTCAAGTGTTTCGATTCTCTCGTAGTTCGTCCTAAACTTTAATAAATTTTTGTTTTGAAACACACACTCTATACATGCTTGGTTACAAGCAGGGGGGATCTTTAGAAGCTCTTCCTTTTTATCTGTTTCGAGATTTAGCAAAGGAACTTATAAATTTCAAATGAGCTTTGCTGAAGGTTTCAGCGATCTACTTAACAAACAGTATTTGAATAGAGCCTTTTACAAAACAGTAATTATTTACGCAGGACTTAGTTTTAGGACTTTTAGGACCATTACGACTAGGAACTCGTTTATTTTAAAGTAAGAGAGAATTTCGAGCTGACGCCCCTACTTACAGAATAAGAAGGGAACGTAATGCAGATTTGTTATAACTATTGAAAGATTTACCTTTTGAAACATGCAATTTAGCCAGTTTCGCCTTTTGAACGCTGTGGTCGAGTGCACAGTATATTAAAAGCTGAACGCGATTTCAAAAAGTGATAACAATGAACGCCTGAAGTTAAACAAACATCTTAACAATTGAGGTCAATGTTTATCGGATGTGCTTTTCTTATGTAAGGCACGTGATATAAGCTTTTAAAATGAAAAAATTTCACATGCACTGATTTTCCATTGTGGTTGCACAGTATGCTTTCGAAGTTAATTAATTTTTTCTACTCAGAGGCGGGAAAGTAAGAGTAAACTCAAGATTAACTGAAGATTAAAATGCGCGTTCTTGATTTCATGTTAATAGCGCACTAAGAAAAAGCAATTAAGAAAAGTTAAAATTTAATTGCTTCAGTACTTTCTCGCTCTGAGGCCGGTGCGTTCAGCTTGAATTAAAGACACTTGCTGAACTCGTTCGCCGCCGAAGAATTTCATTTCATTTCGAAACGAGATACTAAAGGTCAATGACATGCTGAAAGATAAACATGCCTGCTGCTTTGAAAGAGTCTTATAATGAAACAAAGATGGTTATACGTATAATGTTTTTAATTAACTCTGCACCTGAACCAGAACTTTCGCCTTTGCGACAACAGTTGACTTCCATATGAGGGCAAAGAACTTTGTTTCCACCTCGAAGGCAGTAAAACCACACAGAAAAAGTGCGCTTGTATTAAACATAAGCGAATTAAGAACAAAGCAAATAAAGTGAGTAGTGATAACATTTAGTTAGCTTCTGTTGACTTAGTATTATCCCTAAAGAAAACTTTCTAGTACCGCAATTCAAGATTTTCTGAATTTTAGAAATATCACGCAATTTAGAAACAGTTTATTCATGGGGGGGGAGGGGGGTAAGGTTTAGGCCTGAAAGAATGAAATACTTTGATCTGTTTAAAGAAATCTTACTTTTATTATCAGGAAAGGTTTGGGATTTTGGAACTTCTTAGAGCCAGTTTTTTATTTCCTAAGGAAATTGACATAAGTGGTAACTTCAAGTACTATGCGCAAGCACGCACAGTTTAGTTCGTGGATGTTTTCGTGATACAGGAAACATATCTTGGTAGTTCACTTCTGGCTGAAAGAACTGAAAATAAATGTACGTTCTTTGGACACCGCTTCAGCCTGGGGGAATGAATTGGGTGTAGTAAAACCATTCCGACGAAAACAAATCTCCTCACCTTGAATTAGTTTTGAGACAGAGGTGTAACATTATCCAATTAGTATCAGGAACATCTCATAGTTATTGGGTTCAAAATGAACAAAGTGAATGGCAAATCCAAATAAATACGCCAGGGCAAGAGAATATCAACTCATGTTCTTTTGGCCAAGGTGGTTTTGTTTTTACTCTCACAACAGACTACGGCCAAACTACTGCTACAGACAGAAACTTAAGAGTAGAGAAATCCTGAAGGTATTTTCTGTAACTCTAGAAGACCGGCAAACCTATTTGGTTATTAAGAAATTAAATTAAAACGCAGCTGGAGTTGTTTAAAATAGAAATTGTCATCTTTCTTCGATTTTAATTTCAGTATGTTTATCTTGATAAACAAGAATTATTAGAACCGCCATACTTTCCGGAATCCCTACCTGGATTGCTAACGGAAACGACAATGAAGATCAGCTGGAAATTTGTTAAGCTTCTATTGCGTTAATTTCACCGTATTCTTTGATCTTACAGTGTTATTTAATCGACAGAGTAAAGTACTTACGGTGAGTTGTTCTTAAAGCACAATATGCTCAGAGGACGACGTTTTGTTGGAATTTTTGTCTAACTAAGCTTTGCGCATTTTGTTGCAAGCTTATCAGGCTTATGATGTAAGGGATTTTTATTATTGTTTCCCAATACAAGTACGGATGATATCAGGATCAATCACGAAATTAAATTACCTCTCAGAAAAAAGGCTTCATTTCTTTCCTCTTCGTTATGCCCACTGAAGATTCTTGTGCTGCCACACTACATCACTCCCCCAAACTGAACACCTGATATCACAACTATCATAAGAAAATACATATTCCGTCACTGCTTCGAAGGAAGGAAGGACTGACAAAGTTAATACTCTTAAGAGATTCGCAAGGGTCTGCGCCCAGGATATGAAACGTTGACAAAAATGGCAGTTTTATCGTCTGGGATCTTTCCTTTTCTCGTCATCACTGCTACCGGCATTTGCGGAAAGAAGTCTGGACGTTCACTGAAATACCTCTTTTTGGACACCAGAAAAACCCAGCTTTTGAAATTCGAAATAACTATAAATATAGTGTTATGTCAGGTCAAAACTTCAGATGATTTAACATTATTTGTACGATATATTCTTCAGCAAAAAACATTTTTGCTTTCATGCTTTAGCCAGTTTTGTGAAAAATTAATGATGTGGTGTGAAATTTAGTAAAGTGTAAGAAGTTGTCGCTTACAATTTAAATGTCAGTCAACTTTTAGTGGTAAAGTCAATTAAGATATTTTGATTTTAGGTTAAACTTAAAGAGAATTCGACACGACACTGTTTGGAATCGGAACTAAGGAGTTTGGGGTTATCGTTCTACGGGAGCTCGTGGTGTTGTGTATAGCTTTTTGGGGAAGACACCCTTTCTACTTTTTGTTGCAATCGCCTTAACTTACTTCGGTTTCATTTTTCACACCGGCCTAAGAAGTCTTATTTGAGCGAAAAAAAGCCGAAAAAGTGTCTCCTGTCGCTGTATAGGATGTCTATAGTTTAAAAATAAATGTCAAATTATATAAATTGGTGTGTTTTCAGGAAAAGTCTCAGAAAGCTTTCAAGCATATTGTCGTTTCCGTGCTCATGGACTGTGAATAGAATAAAGACAAATCTTCTGTGTTTTATAGTTCTTTCCTTGAATGAGGGAAATGTTCTACTCTTGAACTAACTCTATGGAGCTTGATTTACACACAACAGCTATTCGCAGAAATAACTTTGAAATTTCCATATTTTACCATAAAGCCCTGACTATTTTGGTGTAGGACCCCGTCGGTTCAAAGACGGCTTGGAAGGAACAGGCACTAATTCAACCTCACACCCGACACCCACCAAACTGTACATACCCGTTGTCTGTCACTGCTGACTAATTTAGAAGTTTATTAATAATCCACTATCTGTCCTCTCAGAAGGCATAATCATCTAATCATGAAAGGCTATGCATAATAAATATCTGCCACAATCTTCAAGAGTAGAAAATTCCTTTGCGACTTCATCATGTAACTTCGAACAAAACGCGGTTTTCGATCCTGCAACGATACCAAAGAGCATGCTTAACAACCTTTCCAGGGTCAGTTAAAAAAGAGCTCAAATACAGCCAGAGGTGATACTCTCCTCGCTAGCGGTAAAGCCATCTCCTCTGCTAAATTAGGGGCTTGTCATCAGTCATGGAAATCTCAAAGTGGCGAGGCAGCTTAGTACTACTTTTTTAGACTTGTAACGGACAGTTTGAACACGATGAGTTACAAGTAACGTTTACACTGCTCATCAGATGTACATTTCTGTAAATACATAGATTAAACGAACCAATGTAGTTAAGGCTGGTAGTTCTTTACTGACCTCAACTGAAGTCGTAAAACTAAAACAATTCCAAAAATTACACTTAAGACTCGATGCGAACATCTGTCGAGCGACGCTACACAAAAACACATGAAATAAATCGGAAATAAACCTCAAAACAAACACTTATCGAACTTAAGACATAAAACACTGTCACCTTGTCCAGCCTTAAGGATCGCGGTAGCAAGACAAAGAAAGTACGCTAAACGAGCGTGAATCTACCGAAACTTGCGTCAAACTTACGATCACGGTAGTTAAAAACACACTGGTCACGTGACTAAAAAGGCGCGAAAAGTAGCCGCGCGGAGACTGGACTGGCTACAGTCACAATTTCAACAAATCAGTCTTCTTTGTATATGTATCTACAGCCCGGATATGTAAGGAAGGCTACCACTTGTTCAAAACAACGGTACACCCCAAACAGAGCAACAGTCAACAACAAAAAGACATTGATTGCTGCTGGTGTGGTCGGAAAGCAGCTGGGTGTGTAGTTAGCAGATAAACTGGCATCATTCGCATAACCTCCAACCTCAAAGCTTTTTTTTTTTCTAACAAAGGATCTTTCTCCAGAAAAACTGGGTAAAGCCCTATGGCGTAGTTCAAGTCATTTCCTGTACGAGGAACTACACAGGAAAATTATTGGTCAGTCTTTGTGGTCCTTCACGCTTGGATTTTGAGACAATCAAAAGCAAAAAGGTTTTCCTTTATTTTCCACACGTCCAAATTCACGCACTTTGGCAATAGCTTCTATTGGACTAATGAATATTTTATTCGCTGAAAATAGCTCTTCTATGTTCAGCATCACTTAGGAAGGCAATCGTGTTCCTTCTAGACAAAAAGTTCTCACAAGAGTGTGGATCTTAGTGGTCAACAAAGCATCCACAGTTTCTAAAGAACATGTATTCGCCTTCGACACATTAGACGTGGCTCATAAAATATTGTCGCTTCCCGAACTCCAAAGAAGTGAGATCAAGCAAATAAAGGAATGAGGACCGCAAGGACTTGCATAGGATCGCCCGGATTGGAAGTGGAAAACGTTTAGGATCCATTTTAGACGATAGATAACTGAACCATGATTAGTCGGACAAGCCTCTGGTGAGTCATTTTAAACTCTTAACATCTAAGTTAAAACCCTATTCCTGTCCAAACAGCATTGTGTTCTATTCTGAAAAGCTAGTGAACACAAGGCTGTCTTGAATTTCGACGCTGATGTTGTTTTTTTGACCGGAGGCTAAACTGCAAGGACCCTACTGTTGTTGTTTCTTTTCATGCTTGCCTAGGCCTGTCACCTTGGCATTTTGTGCCGATTTGTCATCATGATTGATTAGGTCCAACAAGAGAACTATTTGAAATGATAAAAAGCTCTTAAAGGGTACGTGTAATATTTTCCTTGACCCGTATTTCCTTTTAACGTGCATAAGGTAGTTATTACATTGATTCATCAAAGCGTGTTGAGTATTGCAAACGGAAATTACAACAACTTCAGCCATTCTAATGCATGAGAACGATTAAGCACACATGCAGTCTCTCTACCCACAAGCATCCAAATCGTTTTTTTTTTTTTATCGAAATATTTTAAAATGAATTTTCTAAGTTGATCATTATGATCAGACAATCTGTGTTAGTTTTCTATACTGGCTTTGTTATCCTCGTTAGAGGCCTGTTTCTGCCTTATCGTACCACCTATAGTGATTCAGTTGTAGTTCCCCCCCTTTTAGGAGTAATTTGCATTTAACGTTATCTTTTAACATCAGAAGGACTGAAGCTGTGGTAATTTCAATTTGCAAGACTTATTCTTTGATTAATCAATGTGGTAACTAACTTGGACAACATTGTTCATCTTCGAGACTCAACAATCGCTGATTGTTAATACTCCCCTCTAGCTGCTACACATTTCCTTGTGAGATAAGTTTGAAGAATTTGGTGTTAGATCAAGATAACAGCTTCTAGCTGATAAGTTTGAGTATTCTCATTAGCTGTTTGCTGGATCATGTATGGATATTATAGGGAGAAGTAACAAGGTAATCACTTCTGGGAATTAAGGGGTTAAAAAAAGAGAGAGATTCACCAACGTAAAACCCAGCTACGATGAAAATTACGACCAGGCGATAAAATGATACCAGATACAAACAAAGGGGTTAACAAAGTAGCAAGGTCAGTGAGCAAACTGCAAACAGATCTGTTTAATAGACAACAACAGTAAATGGCGCTAAGTAATAGTATCATCGGTCCTTTCTTGAAACTCATTGGCGTGACTTTTGTTATGAATTAATCGCCTAATGCAGCAAGAATAAACAACGTTGAGTTCCACTCGATGTGATCTTATTAATTTTGATCTAAGCAATTATGTATCTATTCAAATGCAATCAGTGTATATCAACAAGTTCTAATGTTCTTGTGGTTCGATCTTTCTAGACCGCTCTTGAAAGGAAGATGTTGACACAAAGAAATGATCTTGAATTCAAGTGGCATTAGCGGTTTAACTTAAGGCCAAAAATTACTCAAGCCAACCCTATGTGACGGACAGACGATAACAAATTTTGACGCTTCATTGAAATTAAAAGCTGGCTCTTTAAGGATGCTTCCTTATCAACAAAATAGACATTAACTACTAATCCCAAGATTTTTTTTCTCTCGTCATGAAAATCTGTTTGACTTAAACGATAAACGCAGCAATCATTTGGCATTCAGAAATCAAAAAGCTCTTTCAGTACTTAATTGGAGTGCTACTAACAACCTCATAACGTGTCAAAGTTGCTTCTTTAAAACACTCTAACAAACAGAACTTAAATTACTTCTTCGATCTGTTTGCACGCTCACCGAGAACGTATGACATTATTTTCTTACTGAGCCTTACCACAATTGGACATATGGAACGTTATTCTTTTGTTAAAAGAAAAAATTAACAACACAGACAAAACAGAAAGATGCGCGCTAAAGGGATTTTAAACGAATCTACCGTATCTTTTCTTTGCGGTGATAACAAATAGATTTAAAGAAGGTTGAAGCGAAATGGGTGTGTTTTTTTTTTCGCGGAAGTATTAGTACAATAAAAGCTCAAACTAACAATACAAATACGAATAACAAGCATAGCAAATCTTTTAATTATAACCTAGGGTTTGCCCTTTGTCAACAGATCAAAATATGTTTCTAAAATGCAAAGTGATCTTATTGAAAGTGATATTTACACATGTAAAGCAATTAAGTAATTAACTTAGATGAAGCAATTATAGATTTAATTTTGAGGGTTATTAGTTATTAAATTCTTTTTGATGGTACGTGCGACTCAAATAGATTCAGAGCAAAGTACGTTTTCTGCGTCATCATCAGTCATTTGCGGAACGATCGTGATCGTCTAACCTGCGACTGAGGTTAAGCGCCTTAATATAAATTCAGAGATCTCTTTGATAGTGTCTTAAAGTATACTAAAAAAAGCACCAGTTTTCTAGAATTGAAATTTAAGCGGTGGAAAAGATCAAACTGATTTTGACTTAAGTCAGATCAAAACTGTTGCTGGCGCAAACAAGGAAAAACATTCTTGGCTCAAGCTTCGACGCTAATGAACCAACAAACTTGACACTAGCTACGAGGGGGTAATCGTGGCTATCAGATCCTTTTATTGCATCGCTTTCAGCCATTTAGTTTGAATTACCTTAAGTTATAAGTTCAGCTGTACGTAAACACATATGTTAGTAACTCATACCACGGACTCTTTAGCATCCTGTTTATCTACTTCAAGGAATTTCACTACGTGAGCTGGATTAATTTTTTGAATTGCGCTGAAGGAAATTCCAAGTCTTCTTGCGAGATCTTTCCAGTCTTGTCACTCTCACCAATGTTGAAGAACTTGCGCACGGTGTTGCATCTCGCCATTTCAAACAAGGCAGTAAGATGAACTCGACATCAGAGGCAACCGTACAAAACTTGTACCACGACCAGATGGCAGTCAAAGTAACAATGACTCTTCTTTATGTCATTATCTTGATCGTGAGTATCCTTGGCAATGCTATGGTCATAACAATCATTTGCAGGTTTAAACATTTAAAACGCGTTCCCGGCAATCTTTTCATTGTAAATCTCGCTTTGTGCGATTTGTTGACCCCGCTGATTAGCATTCCACTTGAAATGGTGTTGGTAGAAAACAACAACACGTGGCCATTTGGGTCCACCTTGTGCAAGTTGTTTCCAGCAACTGCAACGTTATTCGCGACTTCTTCATCTCTTACACTGGCTGCAATATCACTGGATCGATATAGAACACTGATGCATCCATTCAAACAGCGTTTGGACACAAGAACTGTCAAGATACTTATTGCGTTTGTGCATTGCTGTTCAGGGATCTTGGTCGTTCCCCATTTGATAACCTCGCGATTGTCACCAAACTCCACCTGTCAAGAAGTTTGGCCGAACGAAGTACTCTCCAAGATTTACACATTTGTTCTGTTTCTTGCTCAATACGCTCTCCCACTGATATTCATGGCCTTCATGTACATCCACGCAGCATGGAATCTCTTCGCGACCACGAGCAGAGCACGATCCTTATCAGTTTCATCCGCATCGTCGAAGGGTAGAAGAAATGGGTCATCAAAACCGGCCGACACTGGGCTAAAAGACTCAGAAGATGGAAGCTCATTAAGCAGCACCTTAGAAAAACATTTTAGTCAGCACAGGGAACATAATGCTCAAGTTACTAAAGTTTTTGTTTTTATAGTTGTGGTGTTCGCTTTGTTTACGTTGCCGATTGAGGTCCTTTGGATTTGGGGAGACTTTGCTGGAGGGAAAACCCACAGACTCTTCCCAATTATTGCCATCATCTGTCGTCTCTTCACCTACGCCAATAGCTGTTTAAATCCATTTATCTTCTACAAGTTTAACCGCCATTTTCATCAGGGGTTTGTGGCCTTCTTCAGACATCCGTCGTCTTGCGGAGATGATAACTCAATGAAACACGACAGCAGTTCTCCCGTTGGAAATGGAAAGTACACTCCTATGTGGCTAACACCGCGTGGATCACTGAGCACGCCAAGGTTCTTGACACCCAGAGGATCATTTCAAAGTGCTCCGACACATTCAGGGAGCTTTTTGGATCACCAGTCAAAGACAAATCATGACTGTAACAAAACGAAAAACAGCTTGGACATCCCTTCGATGGACCAACCGAGTGGTAATTCGAAAGAGAACCAACTCAGTGCAGATAAACTGGGTTTCCCAGCTTTGAAAAGTGCCTCGGATCCTTGCAGTTCGAATGCTAACTGCAATATATCTATAAACGTTTCCTTTTACGAAAGCGATCTCACCATTGCGTTGGACAAGTTAGATTCTCTCATAGGTCTTCCCCAGACAGACTGTTAGTTGGGAAATTCTTCATATTTTATCATGACACTGATTTATCTGAAAAATCAAACTTTATGGAGTGACAAGGGTAGGCTAACAGCCGCCTTCCCGAAATGTACTGTAAATCTCTTGTAGAGCGGTACAGTCAAAGAATTGTCCATGCAGAACTTCATTTTATATCCATGCAGAACTTATTTTTTATGTCCATGTAGAACTTGCGTCATTGTGACCTCAAATAAAACTAACTGAAAAATAACGAGAGACACGAGTTTTCAAAACAATTTCCTCATTATTTTTTATTCAATTTTATAAACGGTCATCGATATATGATATATAATTGTCAAATGCTCTACAATTAAACTTCGACCAGCCGAGAAATTTTACAGATTTTATCTTAAGTTAACGTAATTTATTAAAAGTTATAATGTATATCCTGACCTGTGTTTACGCGCTGTTTAATTGCGATGTGAAACTTCATGGGATGGTTATAAAATAAATAAACCCCGTTCTGGCTTGCTGGTATGTCGGCTGATAATGTCCTTGGTTGAGAGACTGTCCTCAAAATTTCACATTTGCCCTCGAAGCTTCGCTTATCGGCCAAATATTTATTTTTCGGACAATCTCTCAGCCGCGGACATTATCAGCCGACGTACCAGCCGCCCGAAGGGGTTTATTTACTAAATGTTGTGATCACCCCTCATTGGCAGTCAATTTTCTGTAGTCATTCCTTGATACTTTGTTGGCGACGGTTCATCCCCATTCCGTTCCCCCTAAAACTATATGGTCCCCCAAAATTTTCCGTTACTCCCTATCCCTCTTAAGCGATAAATAATGGCAGATTTGATTGAGATTTAACTTCATGATATCGTTCTCTCTTGCGTAGCGGATATCGGCCAGGGCCGTTGATTGAAATATCTGTTCTGCTATTGAAATTCTTTCATTATTAGAACAATCAAAAACTGCGTGACGATACTTGCTTTGGCCTGTGTAATTGTTAAAAGTTTTGCGGGAACTCCAACTGCGCTGTGTCCTAATGAATCAAATTGTTTTGTTTTGATGTGGTTATAGAATATTTTGGTAAACAATCTTTAAAAAAAAGCGCTCGAATAACTCTTAAATATTGCCTCAGGTCAAATAGCTTACCGCTGGGTTTCTGATCGTCGACAACTTAATGAATTCCGTTAAAATTGCACGAATGAAGAATTGTCAGATTTTAAGGCTACTTTCAGGGAAAAACGTCACAAAATATTACTTATGATTTTTCTTGTCTTGTCCTATAACATAAGACACCACAAATCGTATGTTTCTCGGCACAAACAGAACGATGGTAACATCACTTAAAACACGGAATAAACATATTCAAAACCAATCAATCGTCATAAGAAAAAAAAAAAACTTCGTCACGCTATGTGAAGATTGAAGGAAAACATGCCTTCGCTAAGTTTCACAGTCTCTTTTGCCTGCTTTTCCCCAAACCTTCGTCATTACTGTTGCAGTGCGTATGTTTCTCCGCGCATTAGAAGATTAAGACGAGATGAGATAGGTTTTCCAGAAGGATCTGACACGAACAATTATAAATGTTAAACCCCTTGGAACAAAAAGATATGAGAGTTCAAGAAGGACGGGCAGAGTATGGAACGATCTACCAACTGTCAGCTTACTACATTACAACTTCACGCTATGCTCTTTTCATTCCGATACAAAATATACGCAGTGCATGAAAAGTAACAGCCTGAATTGATACCCTCCCCCCACCCCAACGCTTATAACTCCCCCAGGCAGCCCCCTTTTCCTTGAACCCCCTTTTGAACTTCAGTCTTTTCACTAATTTATTCTACCTCATCATCGCTGATCTTATTTTTCAGTCAACTTCCTTACTCGGTTGTTTACAATTTTTTTTAGCCCGAATCGGACGCATTTTCAGACAACTTATGAAGGTCTTTCCTTTTCATAATCTGGCGTTTTCATAACATTTTTTTTGTTTGCTTTGCATGTTATGATATTATCTTGTAACCAATTGAAACTTGAGCATGACTATGTTGTTTTTATATATATTGTTCGTTTTATAAATTATTAGTAAAGGAATACTTCTATACCTTTTAACTTAGGCTTATCGACACACTTACGTCTCAAATTTTAAGAACGTTATTTAGATGGTATCCTAAGATAATTTTTGAGAAATAAGACGGAGAATATCGAAACGAAAATAACGCTCATATCCGTCGCCATTAATGACTGAAAGAGATATTTTAGCTCACCGAGATCTAAAACTATTTTTTTCATTTTATGAAAAAGACAATTTGGAATAGTCATGGAATATAGTAAGATGTTTTACTCAAAAGATAGAAACGGTTAAAATATAGGCGGGATGTTCTTAGATTATCAGAGATTTCGTTTTTATTTGATCAGAGCAATTCTATTTGTTCAGGGAAAAGTCAGAAAATTTTGATCATAGACAGGTATTAACGAATGTTTACGCTGCCTGATCTCGTTATCAAAACGAGACTGTCACTGCCTTAATGATATACATGAAAAAACTTCCGTCAGTCGTATCTGCTGAGTAGGATGAAGTTTTCAGGTAACACAATGTTCCAGAGAGGTAGCTCCGCGCAGCAAAAAGCATCAATTCAGTGCAAATTGAAGGTAAGAAGCAGTTTACCCGCGCTTTGAACTTATTTGCGGCTTAAAAACGTACGAAATTATTTGGAAAAGTGTTATTTTGATTCAGAACGCGTACGATGACATAAACAACGTTTGAATGAGTTAGTCGCACTCTCATTTCTGCATATTTATGAAATTAAAGCTCTCTCGCAATGTTTTCGTGTCTATCATAGCTGAATAATAATCGTATGGTCATCCTCGTGCAATTTGGAATACATCACTCCGCGTGCATTTTAGCAAGTTTACAGATTAGCTCTTGGAATTTTGTGGGTCTTTGAAAAATTGACTCGAGCTTGGTAATTCAAATTGTACTCGAAATCAAGTCATTACCCGAACTTATGCACGTGATGCATTTTAGACCTATTCTGGTTTTCAAAAGATTTGATTTTTACCCGGCACGTCGATGGAGTGACATACAAACGCGTAAGTACGCGGACTCCTCTTTTAGCAAGACTTGAATAATTTCCTTTCCAGAAACAGATATCAACGCCCTGAATATAAGTAGACCAGATATCATTTAATCAGCTCTATACAACATTCTACCAGAGTAATGGCGTTCTCTACCAGGGGCATGGGCTTCACGACATCGATATCATTTCCGAATCTCTTCTACACCAACCAGCAAGTGAGTAATTCTTCCTGTCATTAACATTTAATAGAGTTAGGTGTTGTAAAAGTCTAACTTTCGGCATCTAGCAAATTAACCTCTTTTTTCTCGTTTCCTTTCTTGGCAAAGAACCCGTGCTCTTCCCGCGAAGAATAGGAACGTAGCTCTTGGTGCTGTGATCTGGCTGGCCTTGTTTCAAAAAATTCCTTAATTTGAACACCTGCAAAATTTTCTTTGAAAAAAATTTAAACTTTCCCAATGCAGTCTAACCAAAGTCCCCCGCAAATTGCTGTAAAACACATTAGAACGTGATTAATAATACAGGCAGTGTTTTATGTGAATGCCTCATTATCATTATTATTATCTTACATCACCAAATGATTTCCTGAGAAAAAGTTACTTAACAATCCCTTATGGGAAATAAAGGGCTAAACCCACGAAGTTGCCATGCTTTCATATTGAGACAGTTTTCTTCCATTTGTAGTTGAAATGATATGGCGGGCTTTTAGTGTTTGCTCTGCCTGTAAAGATTCACGTTTGTGTAGTTGTGAGTGTAGTGTCGATTTGCCACATTTTTTGATTGGGGATTTTAAGTTTTCTACGTCAACGAATGGACTTCTTTCCTGAATTCCCGTTTTCCTCTGACGCTTAAGCTTCGTGTCGTTGCCAACCTGCGGGCTAATGTCAAATTTGCTCCACAACCTTCGTATCCTCTCGAAGTTTGTCTCTGGTTTTCTCCCGGTCATTTTACGTAGGATCTTATGCAGACCGCGACGATAATCGCGTCTAAATGTGAAAAATATAATAGGATTTACACAGCCGTTAGTGTAAGTGAAAAACCGGCAGATTATAATCTCTCTCGCAAAGGAGGTGACATCACCATTTTTGCCAAAATCGATCCATAGCCACAGCACTTGGTTAGGAAGAGTGCAAATGGCAAATGCAACAACAATGATAACAAACATTTTTGTGACTTTTACGTTTTGTTCCTGGCTCACGGCAAAGCTTTCTCGACGCACGAGACGTTCTCTAAAGGACATAGATGTGCGTCTGTCGTTTTCACAAGATATTGACATTTTTCTTACATTCTTGGTCGCATCGTAAAGTTTTGTAGAAGCGAGAATGTACATAGTCATCATGAATAGCAAGGGAAGGGCGTATTGAACAGAGACCAAAAACACAGTGTATATTTGTCGATACAAAAACCCTGGCCATTCTTCTGTGCAAATGTTGTTCTGTAATCCAAGAAACACGGCGTATGGAACGACAAATAAAACAGAAACCCAATCCACCACTACAAGGATGCATTTCACTTGGGTCACCGAGAGTTTTGACTTGAAAGGATGAAGCAATGTTTTGTACCTATCCAGCGAAATGGCGGCTAAAGTGAGGGATGAAGAAGTCGAAAGCATAGTGGCTGCAGGGAACAACAACTTGCACAAAACAGCTCCATAAGGCCAGACGTAGTGATTTTCTTCCAGTACAACATCAAATGGAATGCTCATGATCAAAGTTAAAAGGTCGGCAAACGCCAAGTTTAAAATGAGAATCTTACTCGGTAGAGATCTCATGCGTCTTGAGCTAAGAATGACCGCAATCAGCATTGCATTTCCAGTAGTACAGACGAGAAGAATCGAACAATACACGACTATCTTTGGGATTTTAAAGGCCAGTGTTTCAGGTGGCGGATAAAATGTATCCACATGCAAATCTGTCTTTCTTGAAGCGTCAGAGGAAAGAGTTGAATTAGCCATATTTGTTTCTTCCCTGGTCAGATTCACTTCCAGAAATTCGACTATTAAAACGTATTAAGCCGTTTAAGGTTGTTTAAATTTTCAACACGCGGCTTACAGTGTAATTTACTAAAAGCTTTGTGGACCAATCTGCAGGCAGATAATGTTTTGAAAGATTAATCAAGTAAGAGCGTTTGGGAAGTCCACAAAGGAACGCGGCATGCAATAATTTCAGAGTTTATACATGGACAGACAAATATTACAACCTCCTCATTAGTAAATAGGAACGATGACATCAAATAATTAAATAGTTTGATATTGCAGACGTTTATGCATTTTTGTGTTTTAGCTGATCAAAAAACAACTCAATCTGCCCGGCCATTATGAATTTCATGCGACTTCGTAACCTAAACAGTTGACGAGAGCAATTCATGTAATTTCTCTCGAAAAATCAGCTGCCTGTTTCTTCCGCCCCAGCCTATAGTGCCTACGTTTTAGCCTTCCTTCAGTGACGTTTTAATCTAGCGATATCGCTTAAAAGATAGCATAACTCGACGAAAACAATATTGATGGCGAATTCCCTTTGATTTTACCGTCAGCGGAAAAGTGAACTTGGAAAAAACCATCAACACAATTTTATTGCATAAGAGGGGCGGCATTTTGTATCATTGTGACCCTTCTTGTTACATTTGACTCGGCACTTTCACTCCGTTTATTATGAAACTAAGTCGTTTTGCCGCTAAAATATCAAGAAGCTGCTATTGATAGACAAGTATTATGGGGAAGGAAATCTTAAGGGCGTTTTTTGGTATGCTGTTTCTGAAAACTGTACTTCTGAAATAAGACTGGTTTGACGGTTTTCGTGTCATTTGCGTAAGTCATGTAAATTACTCTCGGTTGTATGAAAACATGCCTACGCAACGAATGGAACACCCGCTGTGCAAAACTATATCCGGTAATGAATCGAAGCAAACACACGTAATAGCCCCCAGTAGTAATAGGTAGACATAACTATATATTAGGGAAGGAAGTTTCTAAAGAGGCTGTGGTGCTGCGTCCGTGGGAGGTATTACAAGGTGATCTTGTTTTATCAACTGAGTTGATAATGTATATTTGTTACCATAAAGAGTTTTTAAAGCCGACATTTCAGCAATTGCGGGTTATGTGTGGTTTTTATACAAAGAGACGGAGCTTCACTAGCGGTGGAAAGATGAAGATAAGAAAAGAAGAAGTTATTTGAATGAAAAGCATTCGTTGATACCGTGGGAATTAAGACATCTGATTTGAAAGATAAAATTTTGTTCTAAAGTTTTGCAGCTTTTCGAATTGCTCAGATGTAGGGAGAGGCTACAGACCGCCATATTTCGCTTAGAATTTTTATGGAATTTAAAGTGTCTAGCCATTGGTTTGTACGTGTCTTTTTAATTCCTTTCTATGTTGTCAGAAACGTTCGTCTAGTTGTATTTCTGTTTCGCCGATGTAATTAAGCCGGTATTGTTAAAACCAAGATGTAATAGACATGAAAACTGGCTAGCTTAATTAGAGAAAAGTTCATGACAGGCGAAGTTTATAAATTGTTTGATATAACAGATCATTTAAAACTTAAAAGTAATATCACTGTCAAAGTCTACATTTCGCATCATGGAAAGGCGACAGTAGTTAAGTACATATGATGGTTAATAGCAGAAGAAATGGATATTTGCATAACTCTATAGCTGGCAAAATGCAAGAGGATTTCTCGTGTTTAACCCAAGGCCAAAACTGAAAAATAAAAAACAGCCTCACCGGCCTCATAACATAACATCAGATGATACAACTTATCCATACTGTTGTCAATTAATTTGCCATGGTTCTTACAAGGAGAATTTGTCAAACAACGAAGAGCTTCTAGAATTCGCTTCATCATTTCCTTTATTCTCAAGAATTTAATTTAATTTAGTTTAGTCCATTTTCACTGCATTAAGTTTTGCAGTGGGGAAGGACTAGAAAGGAACATAGGAACCATTCGTGCTAGTCCACCCTCCCACCCATCCCACCCCAGGGGAGGACATCCATCACACAGTAATCTCGTGTGTGGGAAATTAACGTCTCCTACCCCAACCCTGCAGGAGACGGGACCTCCATTTATTCGTCCCTATCCGAGAAGACTAGAATATCTAACCATTTCTTGATGTTATAGAAAGGTAGCAAATTCTTCTCAATTATTTTAAGACCCTGAGTGTTGGTCCGGCCGGGGCTCGAACCCTCGACCTCCCGCACAACAGTCCAGCGCTCTATCCATTGAGCTAACCGGGAGGCGGTT